TATTAATTTGTACAAGAGCGTCTGGCTGTCGGGGCGAGGCTGAGTCTGAGGGGACCCGCCTACCTTTAAGACCATTAGTCTGGGGAAGCCTGAGCCCCCTCCTCCCCTGCCGCCATGTTCGGTGTATGGCCATGGCCTCCTATTGATATTCTTACACTGTATTGAACTCTGTCTTCCAGATGGAGTCTGGCCTTGGTAGAGCTCAGAGGCCCTATCACCTCCTCATTCCTGAAATCTCTGTCTCTTTTGTTTTTCTCTCAGGCTTTGATGGGGTGCTGGAATTTAACCATCATCTGCCAATCAATCTAACATTCAAAAAGTATTTATTCATTATTTACTATGTGCCAGGCACTGTATTGAGCCCAGGGGATACATACAGTGAGAAAGTAAAAATGGAACCTGTCTTCATTCTAAAGGGAGCGACCACATGGCCCAAATGAAAAGCACTAAAACCTGAGGGAACCGGAAAGGGCTCCTGCAGAACTCGGTACTTGAGCTGCATCTTGAAGAAAGCCAAGGATTTTAAGAGATGGAGGGGAGGAAGGAGAGAATTCCAGGCCTAGGGACAGTCAGTGCAAAGGGCCAGAGATGGGAGGTGGAGTGTCTCGTGTTGGAACATCAGTTAGGATGTTACAGAGGTAGGAAGAAGTATATGGAAAGGAGCTATGTCTAAGAATACTGGAAAGGCAGAGTTTATGTTTGATCTCTAGGGAGCCAATTGGAGTTGATTTTGTAAGGGGTGACACGGTCAGATCTATGCTTTAGGAAAATCTTTGGCAGCTATGTCCAGGACAGATTGGAGTAGAGAGAGACTTGAGGTAGGGAGTTCAATTAGAAGATGATTGATTACACATTGGAGGAAATATGAGATATAAAAACATTATGAAACTGATAAATTAGGTATGATTATTCACATTACAAAAATAATTGACCAATGTTTACATTAAGTAATGTCTTTCCTAGTGGTTTTCAAATGTGATACCATTTTCTAAAACTTGATATATCCTCCTCCCCAATTTTCAGAAATAGACGTGTTTTGCAAAGTAAGACACATCCATGTAACTCTGATACTCTAGTCCCATAAACTAGAAAGAGAATTTCAGTCATAGAGAATAGTTAGTGCAAAAACCCATAAATGAGAGATAGAGTGTTTTGTGTGAGCATTAGATGAGGCAGAGACTGTCTTTTGCTTCTTTTTGTATCCCCAGCACTTAACACAGTGCCTGGCACAAAATAGATATATAATAAATATTGATTGATTGATAAATATTACATCTGTATCATTCCCACTTCTACTGATAGATGGCTATTGCCACAGAAGGCAATGAGGAGCAGTTCATCTGTGGTGAATTCAGTGGAAGCTGGAGAGGAATATTCTCTTTTTCATGATCTCGTCCTTGGAAGGACCTGAGATTGGGACCGTATAGGGAATGAAGTTACTGCAGGTTCTGCGGTGCTGACTGAAGCCTTCCAGAGATTTCATTTGGAATGTTCCCCACAGGCAGTGGGGGGGGGGGTGTGTGGCACAGAATCAAAAGGCAAGCAGGGAGAAGTCAGGGGGCAGACATCCAGGGGTTGAATTCAAAGAGCCAGAGGCAATAGAGGTATTTGAAGCAGGAGCCAATGTTGGTAACATGGAAGTTTAAAGGGCCAGAGGTAGCAGTGGTATCTAAAATAGAAACTAGGCCCTAAACATAAGGAAGTCCCAGGCCTAGCAATGATATAAGGTCTAGGGAGGCAAGGTCCAGGGTCTCAGAATCAAGGATTTGGCATAGAGTAAGCAACAAGGAGAAGTGTCATGGTACAGTAGCTACAGAGCTGTCCTCAGAGTAAGGAAGACTTGGGTTCATTCAAGAGATGCCTTAGACATGTTCTAATTGTGGACAATATAAGTCACTTAATTTCTCATTGCCCCAGGGGATTCTCTAAGGCTTTCAGGGTAGATACAGGTGTGTATTGACAGAGGGAGTTCCTCTCCTGGAATTCCTTATGCTAATGAAAGTACAGATTAGAAAGGAAGGAAGGAAGAGAGGAAGGAAGGAAGGATGGAAAGAAGGAAGAAAGGAAGGAAGGAAAGAGAGAGAAAGGGAGTGAGGGAGAGAGAGAGAGAGAGAGAGAGAGAGAGAGAGAGAGAGAGAGAGAGAGAGAGAGAGAGAGAGAGAAACAATATTTTGGTCATAACACTGCTTCCTGTCTCTGGCCCATTAATTCCACTACCTGTGTTCTAATGTATTATCTTGGCTTTTCTGCAGGACATTTCTGACCTCTATGTGTACTGGAAATACCTGGCTGCAGCCTTCTCTGCTCTTTCCAAATGAGGCTTCAAACAATGCCATGGTCTGTGTTTACCCACAGTCTCATGGGTGCCAAATAGATATTCCCAAAGCACAGGTGGTCAGGGCACTGAAAGGTTAAAGGCCTTCCTCAGGATCACCCAGCCAGAATGTGTCTGAGAAAGGACTTGAATCCATTTCTACTTGACTCCAAGGATAGCTCTCTATGCACTATACCATGCCTTCTCTCCTGTTGCTTATCTCATACCAATTCCTTGATTCTGGGACCTTAGGCCTTAATTCCCTGACTTCCACTTTATACCAGGCCTATGGGATTTCCTCATGTTTCTATTTAGGGCCTGCCTTCCAAAGACACTTCTTGTGCCTCCCTCTGTACCCTTTATTTTCTAAACAAACTGATCTACTTGTCATTCCTCATCTCACCTCTGTGCCCTTACATGAGCTGGCCTCCATGCCTGGAACGCATTCCCTCCTCACCTCTGCCTTTTAGCATCCTTAGTTTCATTCACTGATTAGCCCATGGGCTAACTCCTACTTGAGACCATCCCCCTAGTTGCTAGTGCCCTCCCTCCACCCACCATATTACTTTGCATATATTTCAAATTTTTGTGTGTACGTGTGTATGGGTAGTTCTCCATTCAATGTCTAGAACAGTGGATGTCAGTATCTCTGTTTCTCAGGATACCTAACTCCCTTCAAAGTCCAGCTCAGACCTAACCATCTACATGAGGCCTTTCTTGATGGCCCTGGCCTGTAGTAGGCCCTTAATTAATGCTTGTTGAATGGGTTCTGAGCCCAGGATAATGCCATGGGAAAGAGTTCACAGCGCAAACTAGAGAAATAGCTTAATTGTGATTCATGCTAGAAGACAGAACTATATTTAACAGAAAGTGGGGTTTACTTTAATGGATGTTGGGAAAATCCTGGGGCAAGTAAATGAAAGTGGGGGATGGTGGGGATGCATTGGACAGAGTCTCACATAATAACCCATAAGCTTTTTACTACTGAGCCATTCAGGAAGGTGACTGAATCTTCCTCTCCTTGTGGTTCCAAGTCTTAATGAGGAACACACTGGGATGCTTGGAGCTGACCCCAGTGCTTAGTTCACTTTTCATTTGAGAGGATCAGCCCTGCAAGCTAGGGGAATGCAAAAATCATTCATTTTAATGACCCAATGGTATAAAAAAATACAACTGCTGGGTGCCTTCAGGGTTCGTGAGCCAAGAAGAAAGGGTAATGTTTCAGAGGCTGCAGCCAGAGCAATTTATGAATTGCAATGGAATTATAAAGGTGGGTGATAATTACTTGTAAACAGGGTTCTTTTTGCTTGTGTAGCAGCTTTCATCCAGGGATGTGAAAGCATGCTCATCCTTGTTTTATATGGAGGAGCAATTCACCCCTTAGGAAATGAGTGACAGAATCAGAGAAGTATCAATGAAGAGTCGGAAGTGCCTCAAATTCATGCTTTATGAGGATTAGAAGCTCGACTTGGGGAAGAGAAGAAACAGGGAGAGAAGAGAGTTGCCTTCATATATTTGAAGGATTGTTGCAAGGAAGAGGTTAGACTCATTCTGCTTGGCCTGTGAAAGGACAGAATTAGGAAGAATGGGTGGAAATTTTAAAAAGAAAGATTTAAACATTACAACCATTTTGGAAAGGAATGGGTAGTTATGCAAAGTGACTAAAATGTTCATATCCTTTGACTCAGAGACTTCATTACTAGGCTTATACCCAAAGGAGGTCATTGATAAAAAGAATGCACTCATATACACCAAAAGGGGCAGCTGGATGATGCAGTAGATAGAGTGCAGGGCCTGGTGTCAGGAAGACCTGAGTTCAAATCAGACACTTACTAGCTGTGTGACCCTGGGCAAGTCACTTAGCCCTGTTTGCCTTAATTTCCTCACCTATAAAATGAGCTGGAGAAGGAAATAGCAAACCACTCCAGTATCTTTGCCAAGAACACCCCAAATGGAGACCCAAAGGGTTGGAAATGACTGAACAACAAAATAAATACCAAAATATTTACAGCAGTGCCTTTTGTGATAGCAAAGAATTTGAAACCAAAATAGGTGTGCATTAATCAGGGAATAGGTACATGAATGTAATGTAATATTACTATGCTATAAGAAATGACAAATATGATGAATATAGAAACATATGATTTTTTTCCTCTTTTTTGTCACAATTTATTATATAGGATAGCTCTGTGAGAGGGGATGAGGGATGGATGCTGGGGAAAATTATGGTGATGTAAAAAAAAGACAGCAAAACTTCTTTTTAAAAAGTTAATGCTTTTCAATGATCCTCCAATTATACAAATCATAGAATCATACATTTAGAGCTGGTAGAGACCTCAGAGCCTATTGAGTCCAATCTCTTTAGGCCTGATGAGGAAAAGTGACTTCACAAAGTCATACAAGTAGAATATAGCAGAGTCAAGATTTTTTTGGGGGGGTGGGTGGTTAGGCAATGGAATTAAGTGACTCGCCCCGGGTCACATAGCTAGTAAGTGTTATGTGTGTGAGGCTGGATTTGAACTCAGGTCCTCCTGAATCCAGGGCCGGTGCTCTATCTACTGCGCTACCTAGCTGCCCCCAGAGTCAAGATTTTAACCCAGGCCCTCTGACTGAAAGCCCAGTTCTCTTCCCATAAAAAATAAGACATTTGAGACATATTACACTGATTAATTCCTCAGGACTTGGCGAGTAATTTTATTTGAAAACTAAACAGAAGGGAAGAGTCAAAGATGATAACAAAATTTTGAAGCTGGAAAACTATTTGAATGGTGGTACCAATGGCAGAAATGGTAGTCAGAAGAAGGAGGGACTGCATGTGTTTGTCAACTGTTTACAAGAATACACTCATGTTGTTTACCACATCATACCACACAGATGATTATCTTATTTTTAAAAAACAACTTATTAGGGAAGGGAGTAAGTGTTTATGCAGTGCCTACTATGTGCCAGGTGCTGTACTAAACAGTTTTCAAATATTCTCTCTTTGATTCTCACAACAACCCTGTGAAGTAGATGCTGTAATTACTGCCATTTTCCTATTGAGGAAATGAAGACAGAGGTAAAATGACTAGCCCAGAGTCACACAGTTAGCAAATATCTGAGGCTGAATTTGAACTCGGGGCTTCCTGACTCCAGACCCTCTATCTATTGTGCCATCTACTTAGTCCCAAAATGGAAGCTTACAACAAAATGAAATCCATCATGCTGAGTTGATAAACTATCTTATGATGGTAATAGAACTTACTGCACCACATTATCTGTTATGCTAAATTGACAATCTTCGACCCTGGGCAAGTCACTTAACCCTAATTGCCTAGCCAAAAAAAAATTGGCAAATTTCTCAGTATTTTATTAAGGTACTTAAACTTACTCTCACTACAGTAGTGTATACGTTGGGGTTTTTAAAAAACCATTTAACATTTACAAATCTGTGCTACTATTTTTATTAGGTTCCTATCTTCTTTTATGTCACCCATGAAGTATTTGTCTCTCATTTTCCTCATAAGCCCTGTGTTTTTTGTTGTTGTTTGACTCTGTGATTTTTAGGAACACACTTTCATGTTGTAGCAGAACTAACTGTAGTAGGTGTTTAATTGAACCAATATGTATACATAGACATACATTCTCCCACGTCAGTGTTTTCCATTTCCTTCCCACACTCCCACTTCCCCAAAGCCTTTGCCTTTCCGGTAACATTCTATGTATCAATTGGCCCAGCTAAATCTCACTTTTGATGTTCAAATCTAAAAATGCCACTGGCTTTTGGGCTAGTGAATTTTCCTGGGAGTTGACAAACCTGAGCAATTACTATTATTCTACATGCCTAGGTAATATGGCCTTTCTGTGCTACACATATTTTTTCCTATCTTCAAAATAATATTCCTCACCGTCCCCTTTTGAGAGGCAAAGAATGACAGGTTTGAGTACTTCGTCCATTCAAAATGTTGTCAAATTGCTAAATATTATGCTGGGAAAACAACATTTTGAGAGTAGTCAAAGATAGTAAAAGGAATTAATTTGTACAGCTAGGTAGACCTGGAGTCAGGAAGACCTGAGTTCAAATTCCACTTCGGACACATTAACTGTGAGGCCCTGGGTTTTGTAAGCCTTAGAGCCCTATACATTATTATTAATAATTCTTAGATACCATACAAACTCCTCTGCTTGGCATTTCAAGCCCTTTTCAGCCTAGTTTCATCCTTCCTTTCTAGATACATTTCCTCCCCTTTACACACTCTGAGTTGCAGGTAAACTGGACTTCCTGCTGTTTCTTACGTGTACCATTCTATCTCTGGGTCTTCCCTCGTGCCTGGAACACCTTTCCTCCTCACCTCTACCTCTTCCTCTCAGAATCCTTAGCTCCCTTTAGCTCATCTCAAATATCTCCTGCTACATGAGACCTTTCTTGGTCTACCCTACTGCTAGTACCTGTTCAAAAAAAAATTACCTATTTTGTGTGCATTTTGTGGGGGTCTCATATGTGGACAGGTTGTACCCTATGATCTGTGCTGTTTCCCCTGAAAGAACGGAAGTTCTCGGAGTGCAGATCCGGCTTCTTTTTTGCCTAATACAGCATGTAGGACACCGTGGGTTCTGAATAAAAATTTGTTGTTTGTTTTCTGGATTAGGAAGATCTTCCTTGTCTTTAGCGGCCAAGGTACCTAGTTCTGTGCACTGGCACCAAAAACAAATCAAATCCTCCTTGATTTAACAGCCTTTCAAACATTGAAAATGGTAATCTTGTCCCCTCAGTCCTTTCTTCTTTACATTCACACTTTATAACAGTAAAGTTACAATAAGTGTGTGTGCTTACTGTTTTCTTCTGTCTAACCCACTAACTTTGTGGTGGAAAAATAAATCAACTTCTGCTACAAAGAGTCACAATTTCATTCCATAAATCTATTAGGAGGTGGGCTGCCAGGAAACATGCCAGATCCTGTATGTACATGGATATAAAGGGAATTTAATCTTGCCATCAAGAAGCATTCCACTGGGAATTTCTGGGTTTCAAAAGACCTCAGGCCTGGAGAGCTGGGACTGTTTTCTTAATTACCTTTGCAAATGAGCAAATATTTTCCATTCCTATTCTAAAAGGAAAGTAATGTACTAGCAAATATTTATTCTTGCCCCTGCTCCCCATCCCGTCTCTAACCCCCATGCCAGGATGTGAAAATGCAACAGCTATCAACAATTTCAGCCATCAATGTGGCTTTTTGGTTATAGAAACAAATGGCTGTCTGATCTTTTCCCTCAAATTTTTGATCCAGGCTGGCTCTGCTGAATGTGCTGAGGTATCTCAGGCGCTGTGCCATGTCAGATAGGAAAATGGTGTGATGATGACAGTGCTTCCTGGGTGATGAATGGAGGATTCTAGGCCCAGGGTGATGATCGTTCAACAGAGCCCAGGCTTGCTCTGCAGTAGCAGAGAATTGCTTTGTTAGCCAGTGGGAAGGCTGGGAAATGACCTGATCCAAACAAAAGCTGGCTCTGGCCAAACAGCACTCCTGCCTACCCAGTAAGAAGCGATTAGGCAAAGCTGACTCTTCACCCTCACAAAGCCCATGCTGTGCTCTCTTGGCATAGTTCTCCCACATGGATGAAAAACCAAGAGGGACAGATGCCAATCTGAAGCTCAGCAAATAGCTTCTAGAACAGGACATTCACAAGTGCGTGTAACTAGAGCCAGATCTTTTGTACAATTGTGTGACATAAAAAGAGCTGTGGGACACATGTTTAGGGCTGTGGGTTTCATAACTCATGCTCTGTCCATTTTAAATCTGAAGACTCTTCTCATTATGGTTTCACATAGCAGGCAACGTACTGGCTCTCCGACACGTGTTGTCCTTTGGGAAGCCTGCAAAATCAGTCTGTGGAGGGCCTGTCGTCATGCTCTGGTGATGTGCTTTAGAGAACAGCACGATGGATGGAGAAGCAGAAGTCCCCCTGCTATTCAAGTCCATGGTCTTCAGCAGTCTGAAAAGGGAAATCATATCAAAACAGAAGACATTCTTTGTGACCTAACAGGGCACTGTTATCTTTTAATGCTATTTTTTTTTTTTACTATAAAGTTGGGATGATACTATTTTACTTGTCTAACAAGGAAGTTTTAAAAATATTTGTCCATTGATATTGAAAAGAATGCAAAAAAAGAGACCTTGGTTAAAAGATGTTATAAACCTGTAATACTGAGTTAGTATTCAATGCTTTGGATTTTCTAAATTCTTGTTATTCCCCTTACATGCATGACTTTGTCTCAATTCTCTCTCTCTCTCTCTCTCTCTCTCTCTCTCTGTCTCTCTCTCTCTCTCTCTGTCTCTCTCTCTCTCTCTCTCTGTCTCTCTCTCTGTCTCTCTCTCCCCCCTCCCTCCCTCCCTCTCTCTTTCCCTCCCTCCCTTCCTCCCTCTCTTTCTCTCTGTCTCTCTCTCTCTCACACACATAAACAATGGCAAAATTCAGAATATTGAGCCATCAACTCATTTCTCAGATCCTAAAGCCCTACAGGAAGGGCTTACGTTGTGGCTAATCTTGGGTAAAGGAAAATTTCTCCATATCTTGTTTTTTCCACCGAGAAAATAGAAATTATATCTGCTAATATATTAACAGTCTCATAGGGATCAAATTTATAAAAGCATTCAGATCTTAAGTAGATACTTTGATAGATTTATGATTTCACCAGCAATGAAGATCACAACTATCCATGCCCTCATGCCTGCCCTTCATGCCAAAGGTTTTCCTTGAAAACATGAATGCATATGGAGTATAGGGTCTATTCATTGGTGATCCCTCACTATCCCCATGTGACCAGCATACTTCACAATAGATATCAAATACAGCTTGCCTATCCATACTAGGAAACGGAGGCCCTGAGTGCAAAAGGAAATTCATCTTCTACACCTGGGCTTATTTTCAGATTGAGGAAATACTTCCTCTGCTGCTGGTGCTGAAACAGAAACAACACAAAGATGTGTTGGGGCAGTAGGACAGAAGTTCCCACGTAGGATATTGAAAATGCTGATTGCTAGCTTGCCTGTTCTGCCTATGCTCCATCCTAGAATATTCCTCCAATAGCTGCACTTTGGGTCAGAGGAGCATTCGCTCTCTGCTCCTTCTCTTGGCTCCATGTAAATCTATTGAGGGGTTCTCTAAGTGTTTATGCAAGGCAGTTTTAAGTGATCCTTTCCAGGGACTCACTGTACTCTGGAATTCTGGGGGGGAAGGTAAGCAATTTAATCCCCTCTTTCTATAAGGACAAGGCTCCATAATTATGGTAGTTTTTGCCTTAATACTTAAGTATTATGTGTATATGTACGTATATAATATCTTTATGTGTGTATGTGTATCTACATGTATAGTATACATATATACAGCTACATCTCTGTGTGTATATATATATTTAATATAGCTATTACATATACTTTTGTTCTCATGGAGAAAGTCACATGACTATTGCCTTAGGTACACATTACTCAATGGACTTTGACTTACAGAGGTAAAGGGGAGGGATATTAATGTAAGGCTATGAAATGCAGCAGAAATGCGATAATGGATTTTTTGCTTCTCTAAGAACTCCTCTATTATTAGGATAGAGATCATAATTAGGTGACTAATTAAAAGCTTGAGAATGCATATGAGAAGCAAACTTGTGGTTCAGAGAAATAATTAAATTGGGGTGCTTTACCACTATGGAGAAAGTATTCTTAGTATAGTGACTAAATTCATAGATCCATCAAAAGATCATATTTCTCTCAAAGTCTTATTGTGTAAGTACATCATGGTTTAGATATTCTTATTAATGTGAAAAAGAGCTAGCTATCTAGCTGGTCAGGAAACCTGGGTTCAAATCTTACCTCTGATGATTACTACCAAGATTGCTTTGATCAAGTCTCTTGATTTGCTCTCCCTGAGTCTCATCTGTAAAATGAAAGATTTGTGTCAGGTGGCTTTTGAGGTCCCTATCCTATTTTAAAAGGTGCCAAAATGCTTACTGTCCTTTGGTTCATTTGAATACTAAGAAACAATTTGGCATGAAGCAATAAATGAAAAATGAGTCTAGATAATATTTCTAGAAGTGTTTTTTTTTAAAGTATATTTAAACATTCTAGAGTCTCTTACTTCTTAGGTGCCAATGGAATAATTAGACTGGACACGGTGTAAGATGAATAGCTTAGAGCAAAGAGTTGACTTGAAACAAGGCAGGTAAAGGAAAGATTTTTTGAAATCGTATTTGGAGCCCACTGAAAGCCCCTAGATTTGTGACAGTGACTATAAAGGAGACAATAGGAAATGAATCAGCCCTAACAGATGGAGTTTGATAACCACAGCAAAATGCTGATCACCTTCTTCCTCATCTGGATCAAGAGGGTGAGTTTCTGGCAATTGCAAAAGGATGCCTTAGGCATTCCCCAGTGGTGTAGCAAGAGGGATGAACAAATGATTCCCAGGCTTCTTCCCTCCCATGCCCTCTCTCTCTCTCTCTGTGCTTCAGAGTTCATCAGTGGCTGGTGAGTACTTAAAGGTGGTGAGGAGGGAGTGTTACCTTAAACCAGCTGCTGAAGGAAGGAGGTAGTTTGTCCCCAACAGCCACAAATATGTTCTCAAACAGGAACTATATAGACAATAGGATCACAGGTTTGGAGTTAGAAGACATCTTATAGAAATTATTGCTTTTATTTTCCTCATGAGGAAACTGGGGCCCAGAGATGTTACAAATCCTCTTACTAAAAACCTTTTGACGAAGTCTAAGTTTTATAGAACAAATCCTTTTATTGAGGGGATTTGTTCTGTGAAGTCTGGATTCAGTCAAAGAACTGCACTCGAGGATCTGGAGGGCCATATGTGGCCTCAAGGCTGTAGGTTCCCCACCCCTGTGTTAGAGAATTTGCCTGAGGTAACACAAGCAGCAGAGCTAAGCCTTCTGACTCAAAATCCAATGTTCTTTTGCTGGCAGCCAAGTAGTCCTCTTTAGGACAGGGATATCATTCTCTTTTGGATGGGTGTGAGCTCACAATAAGCCTGGACAAAAGGATGAATGTGAGGGGACTCATGAGAATTTTCGGGGGAAAACTGGGAATATACATTGCTAGTGAAGACGAGATTCAAGCACAATAAAGTAGATTTTTCTTGGTGAACGTGTGTGTGTTTGCATGTGTGTGTATGTGTGTGTGTGTGAGTGTGTATACCCACAATGTGTCCCAAAAATCTCAGTGTAGTTTTAAGCTTTGAGAGTTGAATATGCACACACACATATATGTAAATATACATACACATCTATCTACATTATACTCGATATAGCAACTGGACATGTAGTTTCACTGCCATAGGGAACTCCCAGATGAGGAAATCCCCTGTACAGATACAGGGAGGCATCTTCTCTGCAACATTTTGTCTTACAGAGCTGCCTAGAGCTTAGTGAGGTGAAGTGAATTGTCCCAGATTACACTGCCACTATGTGTCAGGGATGAGACTGGACTCCAGGTTTTCGAGGCTTCGACACTGGTCTATATACTCTATACCAGAAGTTCCCAAACTTATTTGGCCTACCACCTCCTTTTCAAAAAAAAATTTCTCAGCATCCTCCTAGAAATCTACTTTCTTTAACCTTTTAACTGTTTAAAACTTTTTTTTGCTTTATTTCAAAAAAATATAATTTTTTAAAATGACATATCTTATATTTAATAATTTATTGTAAATTTGAGTAGTTTTTTCCTGCTTTGAAATTTTGATGATGCAATATTGCATCATGTAACCATGCAGTATCATTTTGTAAACAAGTCATTACATGCACATATTCCTGCCGATGCATGCTGGACTTCCCAACGATGTGTGATGCTCTCGCCCACCAGCACTTGTTTATCACGACCTGTTGGCAGACTTGACCACTGATCAGTTATAACTTGCATTTTGTATGTTTATTTGGAAAATAATGTAATCACTCCTACTTTAACTCTGGCGTACAAGAGATGAAACATGTATGAACGGCTTTTCAAAATTTTCTTCTCTTCTCTTCTTATGCTTTCACCACACCCTTATTTTTATTCAATGTTCCCCAATTGCACCCGAGGCTACTACCACCCCCCTCATTGTTGCAGAGCCCCGAGGGGGCAGTATCACCCACTTTGGGAAGCCATGTTCTATACTATGCTGTCTGTATACTTAGTAAAATAGGTTGTAGGATGTATGTATAATATACAAGGAGTAGTTGTCTTACTGTGTAAGGTATTCCTAGGATCCCTGCCCTTGCCCACTATTGCTAAGAAGAGCCTCTTGGTAGTGAAAAGAGGGCTGGCTTTGAATAAGAGAACTTGGTTCTTGGAATCAACCTTCCCTCTGCCACTTACTCTATGTACAACCCTGGGGAAATTACTTGACTTCTCTGGTCTTCAATTTCCTCATCTGTAAAATGAAGGTGTTAGAGTGGTTAGCCCTCTGAAAGTTTCTTCTGACTCTAAATCTATTATCCTATGATTATCTGATTATACTGACCAATGAATGGCTTGGCCATTGGCTAATACTGTGTGAAAAGCAGAATCAAAATCCAATTCTCAGGACCAAAAATAACTAACTATTGGTAAAATCAACTTGCCCAGAATAAGTTAAGCTGACCCAAGCTTGACAAGGTAAAGACTGAGGACTTAGTTTGTGAGCAAGGGACCAGAGTGGCAGGTGTTGATAACTGAGATTTAGAAGAATGGCTGAGGTCAAAGCTGCCAAGCACAAACATTAAGATGGTTGTTGAGTGTGGAACATTTAAATTTTTGGCTGGGCCTGGATTTCTGCAATGTCTAGTGCAACCAGGAGAGGAATTGTAAATAAGTCATGCAAATAATCAGCTACTCTGAAAGTAGCCTTAGTTGCCTGAGGTAATGGGGTAATGTGATTTGCTTAGACTCCCACAGCAGCACATGTGAGCAGCATGATGTCAGAGCAGAAGGGGAAGCGATGTCCATTGAGACAGATCAGGATCAGATAGCTGGGGAGGGGGGCACCAAGGCAAATGGTAGAGTCAGAGTGACGTAGTGAGAAACAGGCTCAAATTCAAGGTGGGAGTCTTGACTCTGCCACTTACTAGCCATGTAACTTTGGGAAAGTCACTTTTCTTCTCTGGGCCTCAGTTTTCTCATCTGTAAAGTGAGAAGGGTTGAATTAAATGGTCTAAAGTAGAGGTGTCAAACATGAAGGCGCAGGTGCGTGTGGCCCACAATACTCCAGAGTGCTGCTGAACCAGATTAAAATGGAATTGGTAAATATTTAACAAAACCTTTAGTACTAGCACAGGCAGCTCTTCTAGTAGGAGGCAGCACCTTCTACTAAATATTTAGTAATTGTACTTATAGTACCATAAAACAAAGATAATGTAGCTTTCTTTGTCAGCATGTGGCTTAAAGGGATCTTTAGTTATGGCTTAGTGGCTCCTGTTTCTATTTGAGTTTGACACCACTGGTCTACAGTTCCTTTCCAGATCTGATTTTCTATTATCCTGAAGCTGTTCCTGTTAAAAAACAAAACCAGTACCCTCCCCCCTCCAAAAAAACACACAATGTTCTTCTAACATCAAGAGTTATGCTGAAGAAGTACTTAAATAAGATACTACCTTTAGATAGGTTGTTCGGGACCCTCAGAGAGCCCTACCTCTTACAAGATGATCTTCCGTGTTTTAAAAGAGAGCCAGTCTTCTGAGCAGTTTTAGGCATTGCTAGTACAGTATCTTCAGCCCCCACCTTCTAAGAGTCCTTTGCGTCAGAAGGAGGGCTACATTGTCCAAGTGGATGAGTTCCCTCTCATTAGCCCCTTCACTCCCTGCTCCCCCCCCCCAACACATACACACTTAACCACCTTGAGCTCTCTGGGTCGGCTCAGTCATTCCACTAGACTTAGTTTAAAGATTTTAGAGTGAAATTTGAGCCCAAAGCTTTCACACAGGTCAATTTGATGCAAAGGATATGCTTACTTTGCTGTATGAGAGTTGGAGGGCATATGCACTAAGTGAAGCCACGTTTCTGCTCTGAAAGTCAAAGGAGGGACCCCACTCCACTCCATGGTTGAGGCTTTCAGAAAAGAAACAATTTGTATTTTCTCTGAGGTTGGAGATGGCAAAGGGTAAGGTATGTTGTCGGTTTTTTTTTTAAGTGCCAAATTGGGCAAGTAAAGAAAAGGGAAAATGTCCCCAAATCACTGAAACTAAACATGAACAACAACTCACTAGTGTGTATGACAATTGACCTCTGAACTAAAATGAAATCAACAGAGAGTAGGGCTATCACGAGTCAGCAGAAAACCAGAACTAAGGAGGAACTGCTTGGAATAAAGAATAGGCAAAGAATTATGATTAATGACCAGGAGGGTGACCTAAACCAAGTGCAACACAGATAAAGAGGAGAGGAAGTTGCCTTCTATGCACTCGAACAAGAGAATATGAAAAAGAGGGAATGGGATATCCTGAAATATTTTTGTGTAGACCAGAGGAACAACAATGTGAGGGAAGAGAGATTTTAGAGGACCAAGGACAATTTCCATTTTCTTCACAAATCCTGTAAGTGACCAAAGGAAATGTCATAAATATAAACACTGAGAGGCACAGTCCTTGAAAAGGGCTGTGGACAGATTAGGAAATAACAACATATGGTGGGGAGAATGACAGAACTGATTCAATTTCTGTGGGTGGAAAATTCCACCAAATTCTAAGTATCTTCCCGTCCTAAAGTGCACAGCAAGATTGTCAGTGATGATAAACTACACCCGTGAGATGCCAAGTTGGGAAGATGATATCATTCAGAGATGTGGAGCCCAATTCCCTTCATAGATGGGAAAAAAGGTCGGGTCATCATGAGAACATAAGGGTAGGTACTGAGCAGCCTCACATGTCCTAATAGCAAGTGTAGGAAGGTCACCTTGAAAAGGGGAATGGCCCGGGG